ACATAGTATACTTCTTCGAGACTTGAGAGGGAGAAAAATATTTCATCTTCTTCAATCAAAAAACCTAAGTGGCTAAACCCTTTTTTTCTCTTCCTTGACTTTCAAACTTTCATTCTCCTTTGCAGACTGCAGCTCTGCTCTCACGGGCCACAACTCTCACCGGTCGACGGTCTCACTCTCACCCTCTCAGCTCTCACCTAGTTATCAAAAGTGGGAGGATTGAGGAGCCTTTCGGTCTCAGGTTCTCAGCTCTCAACTCTCAGAGTCAGAGTTTCAATGCCTCTGGTTCTGGATCTCTCACACTCTCTACTACAATTAGAAAATACACGAAAAGCTGTAGAAAAATAGGTTTTCGTTCTCCTCTCAGTGCTTTCACAACCGACGTCCAACAACAACAATTTGCGCCTTCCTTTCTTTGCTTCTTGAAGCAGTTATCATCACCGACAAGAGCACTGGCAACGGCAGGTCCAAAGGATACGGTTGTGTGAGTTCTTCTCTATAGATAAGAGTTGGGACTTCAAAGTTTGAGCAGCTCGAGCTCAAATCTATTTCTGATTTGGGTTTTCTTTACAGATAGGAGTTAGGACTTCGAAGGTTCATTATCGAGCTCGAACCTGTGAATTTTGTAATTGAACCAAGCTCGAGCTCATATTTCCAATTCGAACCGAGCTCGAGCCTTGCATTTTCCTACTGAGCTGAGATCAAATACTCAAATGTTCGGCTTGGCTCGGCTCAAATCCACCCCTACTTTTAGCACTGGATGACAAGTGTTTGATGCATTTAGGAGCTCTTTGACTCCTAAGGTAGCAGAAGCAATTATATGTACTCGAGATTGGACTCGGTCATCATAGCAGGCAATTAATGTTGAAGAAGATTTAGAAGATATTGACAAATTTGAAAATGGTAATACACTTTTTAGTTTAAGCTTCATGCCATTTCTAATGATAATTGTTTGGCCTTCATAAATGATCAAGTCATACATGGTTTTCTTCCTTTTCATATTTACCAAAGACTGCATCAGAGCCAACAATAGTGATTGATATTTGATCATTAGATTCATTCCGATATTTAAATTTTACACTTATATAGTATATTAGATTGTAAGAGAGAACTAGTGAAGAGTCATATATGATGGACTATTTACTCACCTTAATTTTCTAGCAAGGGGCCTTTCTTTCAAATAGATATAGCTGGTTGGAGGCAAAGTCTATGCGGAAATGCTGTGATGGTGGATGTTTTGGTTGTCTTTAAAGCTCTAGAAGTAGCCAAACTGGAGAAGTGGAAGAAAATTCCGATTTTGTTTGCTTTATGGATTTTTTGGTCTTGGGTTCCTAATTTGGACTATTAATACTTTTTGGATAATATCTCTTCTATAAAACTCTTTTTTTGATTATAAAATTTCTATTACATTCCTCAAATTGTTAACATGTTAACAGGGCTGCCCATCAGTTGGATATGTTTAAATGGGCATGCCCTCCTCAGCTCCTCTTGTGTTGATTGTCTATTGGAGACTTGAAACAGTGGTTGAGAGGCTATGTGTAGCCAATCTGAAATATTTTACAGTGGTTTTGAAGACAACAGGAAATTGTTCATGGTTCAATTCATCCCATTGCCAATCTAACACATCTTTACAATAGCCAATCTGAACTGTTTAAGAAGATTAGCAGTGTTGTAATTGATGATGAGTTGATAAATAATATGGTAACTAATTACAGTAGTCTTGCAGGTATTCAGCCATTTGAAGTTACTTGATATTCAACTCTTAAGACTGTCAATGTTCTTATCATGCTTGTATCAGTTGCTCTAGCATTATTTCTAGAACCAGACCCAACATCTTGGACCATTAAGTCAAGTTTTGAATTTCTGCGTGTCTTGTATGCGTTAAGACATCATATACATAGAATTAGTGTTTATATTATGTTCTATTTGTTTAGAAAATGAAGAATAAAATCTCCAATTTTAATAGTAGGCAATGGGAAAATTGCAGGGAATTATGGGATCTAGATTATCCTTTTTCTCTTATCTTGGTGCATCTCATTATCTCAAAATGATGACCCCTATTTGTTGCATTGCAATGTTCACCCCCGTCTACTATGATTATCACCATTTTGGCTTTGTTGTTTCTTCATGAGGATCATTATTGGCAGGTATTATCTTAAATCCCACTACTCCAGATGATTTGGCTATTCTGTGTTTGTCCTTCATTTTTTTGGAAATTGGTAATATTACTCTGATGTACTATTTTAAATATTTAATTGGTTTGGACTTTGACAGGTGCTATAGTTGTTATTTTATTGGGCCTATAGATGATGGGATTGATATATCAGTTCTCAAAGATTTGCACAGTGGAGAATCCGGAGATCTTGATCTTAGAATAGAAAATAGGGAACTGGGTTCTTCAATCTGCTATTCCTAACCCAACATGACCAAGTAGTGACTAATGGGTGCTACTGGGCTGGGCGTCGAATGCGTGAGTAAAGATGGGCTTACTGGGCCAGCTCATGCCCGAGTAAAGATAGGCTCACATAGGCCATAGCACATAAGTGCTTCATGCCCATTATTTCAGTTTTAACCGAAACATCCAAAATAACCGGAAAAAAAATTCGGTTCAGTTTAACCGGTTTTAGTACATTTCAGTTTCGGTTAGGTTTTGTAGTGAGAATGGGCCGAATGGCCCTTAGTGTTCTTTATTTCTTTTAAGTAGTATTTAAAAGTTATGTTTCTTAGTTATGGGCCTTATGGCCTTCTTTTATTTTCTTTAATTATTTCTTTAGTGTTGGCTGCCCCATTAAGGGCATCCAAGTAATTGTACTCAGACTTAGAATTATTAATAAAAGTGATGAAAGGGAGCTAGAGAGAGAGGTGGTTCGAATTCTTCTTTTCTCTCTTCCCTTCTTTTTCTTCTTCCACAACCTATTGCTGAAACCTCTTTCTTCTTTCTCTTTCTCTCTTTTCTTCTTTTCTTGCACCATCTGAATTACTGTAGGTCTAATTTTCAACTGGTTTTTCATTTCATTAGATTGGTTTTTAAAATTTTGATTTTTTCGGTTCGGTTTTGAACCGAAAAAACCGAATGCTCACCTCTAGTCTCTGGTTGTACAAAGGTTTTTTTTATTTTTGAATTAATGAATTGACTCTTTACATCTTCTCATTAAAAAAAAGCCAGACAAACAGAAAGAAAGAAAGAAAGAAAGAGAATACAATAGAGGTGATAAGAAATCACACACAATAAAGAAAAAACAACCCTCTAAGCCATCCCTTACAACTGAAATACTCCACACCGTTCCGAACTCCAACTCTCACCTTCACCCCAGAACCCAATCACTTCCTCTAACTCTCTCTCACCCCAGACCCTCACCCTCCTTTATACATTTAATACAATTACTTGTACTATTTATCAAAAAAATGTAACCTGCACCTAGGTGGTGCTTAGATGACATGGCAATCACCTAATCACACTTTACCACCTTTTTGGTAATAAAAAGAAAATTTTATTAAGAAATTGAAGAAGAGATTACAAGAAAGGTGATAAGATATCTCCCGCAAAAAAAAAACGAAAAAACTAAACCCCCAAAACCATCTGCCCTCCTATGACCTTTTGAGCACAAACTTTTCCCTGACCAGACAGACCTTCAACAACCAGAATCCCAACACCAGACAAGAGAACCAAATTTTCCACCAACACCCCAAACCCTAGATATGCCCCAATCATTAACCACTTAAAACCAAACCTCAGCATCAGATCTACCACACCTCAACCATACTTCTTTTCCAACTCCAAGAAAGCTTTTCTTGCAAATTCTTCCCCTCATAGGACAAAAAGCCTCAATGTTTTGCTTACTTGAACTTCCATTTCTACTATCTTTTTCAAATAAAAAATTCTCTTTCTCACTTGATCTAAAGTCACCTCATCATTTTCCTCTTGCCCCTTTGATACTTTTTTCCTTGTCTTCATTCTCTATCTCCAACAACTCTTCCCCCATCTCAGAAGAGTCAAGCCCATTCACAGATTCAGGGAAATTCTCCACCTGAAGAGAATCGTTTCCCAAAATCAACCCAACTCTTACTCAGAACAAGTGCATCATCTGCTTGATTATTGACCTTGCTTCCAACCTTGTTGACCTCATCCAACTGTATGCTGCTGCCCACGGCCCATGCCAACATCTTCGTCATGGATTCACCCATGTTTGTCACTCCATGAGACATTATAGACAATCCCTTGCTCAGAACAAACCAGCTCCCTGGCCCCAATCATAATCACCTGATTTGTCCCAAATAGCTTTGGCCTCCATATCTGCAAAAGATTTGCCAATGACATCTATGGAAGATTTGGAGTCATCAGTCATCACATGCCTTCTGCACAGACTGAGAATCCTTACACACCTAATCACACTTTACCACCCTGATAACTATGGACAACAACAATGGGAGTACTAAGATAATACCAAATCAGCAATATGTTACAGACTGAAACCTAACCAAACTAACCATTATCCATTAGAAAATCCTACTCCAAAAATTCAACACAATAACATATGAACCAGCAGATAATCTAAAATGAGACATCCAATATCAGCAAAAAGTATTCTTCTCTCTTTTTCCATCACTACTAGCTGCCAACCAAGGCACACCACAGTCTGTTCAGTCCTTTAGAAGCTCCCTTCATGGCATCTCTTGTTTCCCTCCAAGTTAGAGAATGGTCTCATCACTCAAGTAGATGACTTTTGTCTCTAAAGGAGTATCACATACATACAAAATACCATGAACACATGTATTTCTATGAAGGTTTTAAAAGCTCCTTGGAATATTGGCATACATGATGTCTTTGGTGACCAAGAAACATTTATAGGTTTGTCCATAGAATCATTTAGCACTCGCATAATTGTAACTATTAGTCTTAGATCAGCAATGAGTGAAAACAGTTAGAAGTTACAAAATAATGAGAATGAAAGTTTGTATAATATTTAGCATGCAATTATAGCAAGTAAACAACAAATTACCTGATCAGCTTCCAAGCATTCAGGTGAATTAATGGGGCTCACATGTGTATATTTATCAGTCTTTGAATCCCTCTCTGCAACTACAACAGAATCAAGAGATGCTGGTGACAAACTCTCATCTATTCTAAGAATAGATTGAGAACAGTCTACTGATGCTTTGGTGGAGCAATTTTTCAATGAATTAGCAGACAGCGAACTTTCAACAGACCTAACAGGATATGGTGCCTGCATATGATAGATTTATTTAAGCCAGACAGTGACAGTTATATACAAGTCATTAAAATTAAGTTAATGGATAGAAACATCTCTATTATGACAGATACATATTTTAACATCTTAAGAAAACTATAAGTTTATCCTGTCCAATTGCTTTTTTTCAAAAATATATGATGATTATTAATTCCTCCAGAATTGCAGTTTGAAAAGTACAATGACTTGAAACCAACAGAAATTATGTCTTCAAAGTCTCTCTGCTTTGGGATTCATGGAGTGCTAAATGCATACAGAAGAGAACAAATTGACACAAGCACTTATTTTATAAGTGGTACAAGCACAAAATTTTGTGATCATACAAATCATTACTGCATCAATTCTTTGTACTCCTTTTCCTTATCCCCTTTTAGACCCAAATATTACCAATTTAATTCAGTACAGAGAAAAATGAATCTAATGGTAATAATCATGGTGTTAAATACAAAGCAAAGAGCAACATTTAGACAGGACATTAATGGTGCATCACTTAAGCTCATGGAACTTTTTTTTTTTTTGAGAAAAGGTAATGTAATTTTATTGATAGAAAATACTAGTACAAAGGCCCCCCAACTAAACACCTTAGAAGGGGAAACGGCCCAAACATAGCAAAATTACAGATGCCATAGGCTCCTAGAATTCAGCCTAGCCCCCAACTGAGCAGCCTGAATTCCCTTCGAAGCCAAGACCCAAGAAATCAGCTTTCCAAAAGAAATAGATATCATATCTTCTGGGTCCTTATAGATATTCTGAAATAGTCTTTTGTTCCTTTCTGCCCAAATGGTACTGGTAACTGCAGCCGGAATGGACCTCCACACTACTGAAGCAAGCTTTGACAATCCCTGAAATCCCCAGCTCCACATCATCTCCTTCACCGAAGCTGGCATTGACCAGGCAAGACCCACTGAACCAAAAAAGTGATTCCAAATCCTAGCAGATAATGAACAGTGAAGAAACAGATGACTGCTATCTTCCACTCCTTGACCACATAACACACACCTCTGATCCTGAATATGAACCCCTCTCTTACATAGGTGGGCTTTAGTTAAACACCTATCTAGAACTGCAGCCCACACTAGAGCCTTGATTTTTGAGGGATAGGTTGGATTCCAGATTCTGGAAGCAGGCAAATCTTCTGAAGTATTCATTGTCATGTGAGAGGCAAATGACTTGACTGAGAAGAGGCCATCTGTACTCCAATTCCAGGACCAGCTGTCTTCTTTGAGCAGATTTAGGTGTTGAAAGGAGAGCAGATTGAGAAGATCAGCAGACAGGAATTTCCCAATCCTGAAAATTCCTTCTGAAAGGACACCAGGCTACTGAGTTCCCCACCACCTCATAACATTCAGCAATCATTGCATCTTGATGGTCTGCTAACTGGAAAAGATGTGGGAATAACTCTGAAAGAGGAGTGTTTCCACACCAGGGATCTTTCCAGAAGGACAGCCTGTCACCCTTCCCAAGGTTGGGGCTTAAACCTCTACTGAGAATGGGAAGTGTCCATTATTTTCCTCCATACCGAACAGCCTAAAGATGGGGGAGAAGAAATGGTGATCCAATCTCCTCTATCTGTGTTGTATTTTGTTGCCATTAACTTCCTCCACCAGTGGTTTCTTTCCAACCCGAACCTCCAGATCCATTTCCCAAGAAGAGCCTTATTAAAGGTCCTCATTCGCCTAATACCCAAACCTCCTTTACTTTTCGGAGAGCACACCTTCTCCCAACTCACCAAGTGGATTTTCTTTCTATCCTCCTCCCAGCCTTTCCATAAGAAGTCCCTTTGCAGCCCCTCAATTCTTTGGGCCACTTTGCTTGGAATTGGGAATAAGGAGAGATAAAATGCCAGCAAGTTGGATAAGGAGCTTTTTAACAGGGTAATTCGGCCCCCCAAGGACAAGTATTTAGCCTTCCAAGTTGCCAATTTCTTTTCTAGCCGCTCTAAGACTGGTTCCCAGATCAATGCTGAAGTGCATTTTGCTCCTAGTGGGAGTCCCAGATACTTTGTTGGAAGGAACCCCACCTGACAAACTAATCTCTCTGCCAAGCCCTCAAAATATTCCATTTTTCCCACTGGAATCAAACAGCTTTTGCTCCAATTAACTTTCAGTTCTTCACCACTTCGAACCAGCTTAGAACTCCCACTAATAGGTCTAAGTGTTCTTCATTAGCTTCCATAAAACATAAGGTGTCATCTGCAAATTGCAGTACCTGAACCTTCTCCCCTCCTGGCACCACCTCAAAGCCCTTCCACCACCACCACCCCTGTTTTTTGAATGAAAATTGTAAGTATTTCCATCACACAAATGAACAAAAGAGGGGAGAGAGAGGGTCTCCCTGTCTGAACCCCTTAGAATTTTTAAAAAAGCCTACTAATTGGCCATTTAGGATGACTGAAAACTTAGGAGAGGTGACACAAACTTTTATCCAGTTCCTCCAAGTCTGCCCAAAATTCATTTTATCCAACACGCAGTCCAAACATCTCCAATTGACATTGTCATAGGCCTTTTCGAGGTCAAGTTTGCAAAGCAGGCCCGGAATTCCCTCCCTTAACCTTGAATCAATTAATTCATTGGCTACCAAGACACTGTCCATCATTTGACGACCGGGGACAAACGCAAACTGATTTTGAGAGATCACACTYGGMARCACCTTTTTCAACCTCTCTGCCAAAACCTTGGCCAAAATCTTATAGAAGCTGTTCAGGAGGCTAATAGGTCTGAAATCCTTCAAGTTTGTAGCTCCTTCAATTTTCGGGATCAATGAGATGAATGTGAAATTTAAGCTTCTTCCCAGTGAGGCATTCCTATGGAATTCCAGGAAAACCTGCATCACGCCTACTTTCACCACTTCCCAACAGCTTTTGTAAAATAAATTGGTAAGCCCGTCCAGACCCGAGGACTTCTTTGGATCTAGATTCTTTATCACCTACCAAACTTCCTCTTCCGAAAAAGGAGTTTCCAAGCATCTTTGTTGGTCCTCAGAAATTCTTTTGAAATTAACTCCCTCTGGCAGAGGTCTTTTTTTCCAATCTTCCTTAAAGAGCTTCACGAAGAAATTTATAACCACTTTTTCCTTGTCTCTCCAAGATTCCCCAACCTCCCCTTCCTGTTCCAGCTTTTCTATTCTATTTATTCTATTTCTAGCCCTTACCATTTTGTGAAAAAAGCTAGAATTTCTATCTCCAGCCTTGAGCCATTTCACCTTTGCTCTTTGTCTCCATTTCAGTTCATCCTTATATGCTAATTTATCTAGGAGCAGTTTTGCTGACAATCTTGTCTTCTTTTCTTCCTCTGAGATGGGGCCTCTTTCCTCTGCTGAATCTATCTTTTTGATTTCCTCAAGACACCTCCTCTTTTCCTTTTCAGATTTATTCCAATTTTCTGCCTTCCAAGATTTCAAAGACTCCTTAATTGCACCCAATTTTTTTGCTAAAATGTAAGAGCTTGTTCCAACCACCTGAGTTTCAGACCAAGTGTTTTTTAAAAATGGTACAAAGTCTTCTTCTTCAAACCAAGCATGTTCCAACTTAAAGCTAGAATTCTTTCGGACTTGCCCACCACAAACAAGTTGAAGAGGGGAATGGTCTGAAATTGACCTTGGCAAAGCTTGCTGTTTCAGATTTTGGAATAGGTCTTCCCATCCTGGGGACACCAAAAATCTATCATGTTTTACTAGGACCGGATTCTCTTGGTTGTTTGTCCATGTGAATTGGGCCCTAATTAGCGGAAGATCTATCGATTCAAATTGATTTACAAAATTTGCAAATCACCTTCTGTCTCTAGCTTCATTTCTACCCCCATTTCTGTCTTCCAAAAATCTAGTTACATTGAAGTCTCCCCCTACTACCCAAGGAATTGTGGAAGAGGAAGACCCTCTTCTTCAAATAGATCCCCCCAAAGCCTTTCCTTTTCTTCATTTAAATTTGGGCCATGATCATTGGTAAATAAACCCCTCACTCACCCCTCCCACTCTAATTCAACTGAAATGGAGAAATCCCCTACATGGGAGTCAATCAACTTGCATTTCGATCTATCCCACATGGTAATTAGGCCTCCTGCACTTCCTCTAGATGGTTTGAAGATCCACCTAACTTCCCCTTCACCCCAGATACTCCTGATTGTTTCAGCTTGCACCACTTCCAATTTGGATTATTGCAAGAAAACCACCTCCGACCTCCATCTCTTCAATAAGTCGCACACCACCATCCTTCTTCTCCCTGACCCTAAACCCCTCACATTCCAAGATAAGATTTTTAACTTCATAAAGAAAACACAATAAGAACCCGCCCCCCTTTTTGTCCCAGCCTTTCACTCTTCTCTACCCCTTCTTTCCCCCTCCCCTCATCTGACCCTCCCCTTTTCCCACCTTCTCATTCAAACCCCAAGAGAGTCTTAGCATTTCCCTATTTTTCTTGAAAGAACTTCCCCCTTTTCTAGCGTTCAGTTTTTCTTTTTCCGCCGACAACCTCTTCTCTATCCCCTCTAAGTAGCTAACTGTCTCCTCCTCCAGGCCCTCTATCAACACCCCCAAAAACTTCCCCAGCCCCAACAACTTTGAAGTCACCCAGGCCGAAGTAGAGTCGACCTTCTTCCTTCCCTCAATTTTCTCGCCCCTCCCCCCCTCCGCAACCACCTCATTTTCCCTTCTCCGTTCACCCTCTCAAATCAAAACAGAACTGCGTACTTGATAATTTGGGATTTCGGTCGGCAAATGTAACTGTGGGGTAGCTTCCTCTCTAGCTTCAATTACGGTCAATGGGGTAACTTCTTCTGGAGTTGAGTCCTCTAGACCTGTCTTCGTCGTCGCAACAGCCGGCTGAACTTCTTCCCCCATCAAGACTAAGGTAGTGGAGACCCAAGAAGGCGTCTTTTGCTTCCGAAAAGGCCTTTGCGGGTTTCTTGCGCATCTCAACTCCACATCGGCCTGCAATCGAGCGCAATTATCCCTTTCTAGAAGGAAGATCTTGTCTGTCGAGG